AGGGTTTCTCTGTGTAGCCTTGGCTGTCCTGGAACTCACTCTGTAGACCAGGATGGCCTCGAACTCAGAGATCCCGAGTGCTGGGATTAAAGGTGTGAGCCACCTCTGCCCCACTAAATTTATACTTATATTTATTTTAAGTAATTGTAAATGTCATGTGTTGCTTCTCTCAGTGTGCCTAGGTTAATTTCTAGTTTATGGTGATAGAATTGACTTTTGTTTCCTGGACTTGTAATCTGTAACCTTGCTCAACCTACTTATTAGATATAATGTAGGGGGCTTGAGTCTTATTTTGTTTATAGCTTCCTTGGGGTGCTTCTACATATACCATCATTATATTTGGACCGAGTTTCTTGTAGACAACATGTAGTTGCATTTGGATTTATTTATTTTACTTTTATTTATTTGTCTGTTTATTTTTGGTGCAGGGAATAACAGCAAAGGATTGGTCAGCTATAGAAATTCTCTTGGATTGTTTTTATCTCACACATCTGACAATGTCTGGGACTCCTTTCATTCCTGAACGATGTTTTCACTGAAGCTGGGATTTTACGATGACAGTTCTTCCCCAAAATTTCATGATTAATTAATTTAATTGTTAATTTGTTTTTAAAATATTGGTTACTTCTGGCCATGAGAGTTGATGCTGATGGTACTCATTTCTACTTGAACTCTTCTGTTCTTACAGAGAACATCATTTCCCTCTTATTACCTTCAAGATGGTTTTGTGTTTTTAGTTTTCAGAAGTTTCACCGTGTGTCTTGGTGTGGATTCTTCAGGTTTGTTCTGTGTGGGGTTTGTTCAGCTTCTATAATCTGAGGAAGTCAAGGTTTATGTCTCTTGACAGATAGGGACCCTTTTCACATCAGCAACATTCTTTCTTTGTATACACTTTAAGTCCCACCCCCTTTGTTCTTCTCCATGTTTCTTGGCTTTCCTTTTCTTAGCCTTTTGTGACTTTTGGCCTAGCCTTTTGTGACTTTTGGCCGATTTTCGTGTTCTTATCTGTGGCTTTGGCATTTCTGGGTTACTGGATTCATTGACACCAAGGGATTTAGAAAGCAAAACCAAAGCTGAATGATGTTGGTTTTGCAGACATGGCCCAGGGTGTTCATATTTAACAGGAAGAGTGGGGCAAGCACATCCCCCACCCCTTTGCAGAGTGCAGCAGAGAAATCACTCTCAGGTCCTTGGCTCTCTCGTGCCCACAGAAACCTCTAGAACAGGACAGCTGCAGATACAACCAGGTGAAAAAAAATTTTTTTTTTTCCTGTGGCAGGCTCCTCTGCAACTATCATGAACTGGCTAGGTGACAGTTCGAGAAGTGGCATCTTTCTACCCTCTCAAGAGCTCTTATGTGACCTGAGATACACTGAGGCTTGAGGAGAGTGGTCACGCTGGGAATCCCAGTGGAGAAGGGGGAAGAACGCATCGGAAGGCAGCTCCTCTCGTAGAAACTTTAGACTTCCGCTGTCTTGAGGGTTTTGGTTGGTGTAAACCCACACTGTAAGTCGCTTGTGCTAGGAGGAAAGTGGAGATGAGGAGTAGAAACTGTGCTTACAGGAACCTACAGAAGGAATATAAGACTCTGCACAGTGAAGTGGGGGGAAATGAAGCTGAGTAATTTGGGCCTCCAAACCCAGCAGTGCTGGCTAGCTGGCTCACTTCCTGGCAAGTTTCTTCACCGCATAGACTTGCCTTCTCACCTGAGACGGGAGATACCCTAGCCACGACTGTGACTGTGGTGCCTGGCTGTGGTGCCGGTGGCTCAGCTCCATTAAAACTGGAGCCGCCAAACCCGACACAAGCAGAAGACCTTTTGCATACAAAGCTGTCAATGTGAACTTTAGAAATTGTTGATTACACGTTGCAAACCTAGATTTCCTATGCTGGGCATGTGGAGCATAAGATGTTGAGGGGACAGGGGACTTCCTGCTCTGGAACAGAAAGAGGATGTGGCTCTCTGCTGAGGCAGGAGGTGCTAAAGCAGCAGCAGGTCTGGAATGGGAGTGAACTCAGGGTGGGGACTGAGACTGAATTGAGCCAGAAGCAGTCCCTGTGGCCAGGAGGGAGAGCAGTGTGCTTGATTGAAGGATAGCAGCAGAGGTGTGGCCTGGTAGCCTACACACCACTCCTATCCCCAGGGGACTTGAACTGTGAGCACTTTTACAGTATTTGCATTGCTAACCAACATCTAACAATCAGGACATTTCACCCAGTAATGCTGGGCTGGGTTTCCTCTAAAGACAGAGGCCTCAGAGCAGGTCACATCTTGCCCACCCACTGCTAGTGGGAGACCATTGATTTCAAGCAGTGTGTCTCTCTCTACTTCCCATCCCTCATCCAGCCCACCTCCAAAATAACCAACTCGGATTTCCGGGTCACTTGACTGGGGTGGCGCTTTCCTGAGTTGCCTACATGGAGGAAGGGAGGCGGCTTGGGAAGCAGGGTCAAGTTCAGTGTGGACTTTTGAAAAACAGTGTTGGTCTCTCTGGGGGAAGCCAACCCGGAAGCCCTCATGAGAGCTACAGTAGGAAGTCAGAGTGGAGGTGAAGGCTTAGGAGTTGCCATTTGTGAGCCATGATGTCAAGGGCATGCCTGACACAGGGAGTGTGATCTGGAGGGACAAAGGGTCCTGGGGAGCTGCTTGTGAGAAAGGGAAGGAAAGGGGAAAGAATTTACAAAAGTGATGGAGACAGAAGCCACGAGAGCATGATTCACATTCCAAAGTCACTGTACGCTCCCAGAAAGAGCCTGAAAGTCCCCAGAAGCCAAGCAAAAAAAAAAAGAATCGAGATACACGGCGGGGTTGGTGACACTGTGAAGTTGGAGAGAACCCAGTTCATGGGTTAATGAGGAGAGACATCGATTTGCATTATTTATGAAGTGATTGGAAAGTAAATCTTCTGTGAAGAAGAGGCAGCACAGGGCAGTGTGAGGCCACTGGATCCTAGAGCCTAGTCACTTGGATTAAGATCCTAGCTCTGCCGGCCTGTAACTCTGAGATCACAAGCAGGTGAATGCTGTGGAATATTAGTTTAAGATGTGTTACATTGGTTTATACAGTGGAATATTTGTTTAATGATTCAAAGGTGTGTTGCCTTCTTTTATGTTGCATTTCTTAACTCTGTGAAGCTGTGTTACTTTGCCTACCTAAAACACCCGATTGAGCTAATAAAGAACTGAACAGCCAATAGCAAGGCAGGAAAGAGAAATAGGCGGGGCTGCTAGACAGAATAAAGAGAAAAGAAAAAGAAGAATGAGGAGCAAGAAAAGGAGGAGAGGAAGACACCAGGGGCCAGCCACCCAGCCACACAGCCAGCCATGGAGTAAGAAGGAAAGAAAGGTACATAGAATAGAGAAAGGTAAAAGCCCAGAGGCAAAACAGTTAAAGAGAAATGGGGTAATTTTAAAAAAGCTGGCTAGAAACATGCTAAACTAAGGCCAGGCATTCATAAGTAAAAATAAGTCTCCATGTATTTATTTGGGAGCTGGGTGGCAAGCCTCCAAAGAGTAAAAACAAACAAAATCAACTCCAGGTGAATGGCCCACTTCCTGTCCCTATACAATGACAACAGTGGTTTCCATCTGTTTCGTGGACTAAATGGGACACTCAGACTGAGTACTAAGCACAGCGCCTGGTGCATGGTGGGCAGGTGGAAAAGAACTCCGTTAGGCTCATAGGCACAATGGAGTGGCGGGGAAAGGCTGGCCAGCTGGTACAATCGGAAATCAGCGAAAAGTACACTGGTGAGCTGCAGTAAAGTGGGGTGATGTCGAGTAATGTGTGGGGTACGTGTCCTAAAAACACTGGACATGTTCTGTGAGTCTCATAACAAAGAACTGATAAAGGTTTGCAGTGACAGGTATGTTTAACCTGATTTAAACATTACACAATGTGTCCATGGATTGTAACGTTTCGTTCATGCAAATTTGGCTATTTCTGTTTTCTTTTCTTTTGCTTTTTGAGATGGTCTGTAGCCCAGGCTGGCTTTAAACCTCCTGCCTCAGCCCCCTGATTACAGGCATGTTCCACCGAGCTTAGCAATATGCACAATTTGTATGTCTTTATATACTAGTTAAAATACATTGATGGCTGGGGATGTAGCTTAGTGGTAAAGCATTTACTTAGCATAAGCAAAGCTTCAGTTCCATATCCAGCACTACCCATACACAGAAAGAAAAATCAAAAATAGAAAGGCTGTGGCTGAGGAGATGATTCAGTTGCTAAAGAGCTTGCTAGGAAGTGTGAGGACCTGAGTTTGATTCCCACCACCAACCTAAAAAGTCAGGCCTGATGGTGCCTGCTGGGGAGTGAGTGGTCAGGAGGACTGCTGGTGCTTACTAGCTGTCAGTCTAATAGCAATCAGTGAGCCCCAGGTCCTGGTGAGAAACCCTGTCTCCCCCACTTCCCCCCCACACACACACACACAGCCCCACCACCACCAAAAGAAAACCAAGGTGGACAGCCCCTAAAACTGACCTCTGACCTCCACATGTACACACACACACCTGTATGTACACCATCCGTTCTCAGGTGATTCCCCTTAACAACCACTCACACTCACCTATGAACACACTCACACATACATACAAAACAAAAACAAGAAATAAAAAGTCTAGAAGTTTACACATTGAACATGCAAATGAGTACCGAAAGGTCAGTGGTGATGACCTGTGAGTCTCCATCCCACCCTGTGCTTGGCTCCTGCCCTGCCCACAGAGGAAAGTGGGGCATGCCGGGACACCCTGGAGGAATGGAGAAAAGTCGAGGTTAGAGGTCATTGAGATGACAACGTGGTAGGAAGCAAGAGAGGCAGGCTTCCTGTCGAGATACAATGGTGAGGTGACCTGAGCACAGGCTGGGAAAAGTCTCCTCAGCAGATACGATCTCTGTCTCTACGCCCCGTGTGCCAGTGTAGAGGCTTTTCTCTTCCAACATGGATTCTGGTTCTCACATCTTGATGCTGCACTGACCTCTGACTTACTCTTACCAACAGAATGTAGTGCAAGTGGCACTGTTCCAGAGCTGAGTCCTGGCGTCCAGAGGACTTAGACGCCACACCATCACCCTTGACACCCATACTCTCACTCCTTCTACTATGATCCAGCCTGAACTCAGTGGACTCAAGGATGGAGCGATGGCCTCAGCACATGGAGGGAAAACCCCTGGAGGAAACCAAGGCTCTCCAGCAGACAAGACAACAGTCAATCCCCAGAGGTAGCTCTGCCCTGTGACCTGCCAGCATTGCAAGAGAGACCTGGGTATGACTCAGTAACCACCCAACAGAGCCCAACCCAAGCTGCTCTTCCACAGAGCCACAGGATAAACGAGCAACAGTATGTTAAGCCAGCAAGTATGCAGCTGACTTGTTCTGCAGCAGAAACATATTCATGCAGCAGATACACCATTCCATGTGACAACTATGCATTTGAGTTACCCTGTCTCAATAACCACTGTGAGACTGTGAGACATGGGGATAGGATCCAACAGTTCTAAGTTAAAAAAAACAAATCAGGTCATTGAAAATTTGGGCATAGGAAGATACAGGGAAAAACCAAACATATATATAATGATAAGATACATCAATACAGATAATACTTATAAAAAGGAAATAGATTTTTAAAATGACTTAACAGTCCTGTTAATAGGCTGTTCCCAAGGCTACAACTACTGAGGTTATAAATGCTCTTCATGTTGACGGAACAGGGTGATCATGTGTCTTATTGGAGTATTTATACTTATTTTCCCCTCAAACCGTTTTGCCTTAGTCCCTTGCTCAGTTTTTCCATACTGTCTTAAGGCTCTTTATAACTTCTTCCAGCCCCGGGGGACTCAGGCTGCTGCCACCCGTAATTAAGAAGGATCTGCTGGGTACTGGATTTGGATGTGAGCTCCTCAGAAACGTCCACTCTTCTGTTGAGGGTTCCTGGACATCCGCCCGGTCTCATTTCTTCCTGAGGAGGGTGGAATCTCATTACAGGAAGCTGTGGACATGGAACCCTCATTACAGTATGGAGGTCAAAGGCGCTTTCTTGTCCTTTGTCCTTAAAAGACCATGAGGGGAAAACACGCATAAAAAATTAAATCCTTTTAGTGTGGTTCCTGCAAAAATAGCATCAAGTAGACCTGAAACAGGTGAATGATTGGGGTTGGCCAGTACTGCCCAGCTCCCAGCAGTCCTCACAGGGATGCTGCCATGAAACCTGACTGCAGAAGTCCCTATGCTTGCTCAAGTCTGCATGCCAGGAGTCGTGGCAGGGCCAGTCCTTGGTTCTCTTCTTTCCCAGAGTCCCTCCTTCCTGTACAGACATGAGGCTGCTGTGGAAGAGGGCGTTAGCTGTAACCACCAGGGAACTGAAGAACACAAGCTTCAGTCTGAGAAAGACCCCATGCAGGCCGCCTCCATCGTTCGTTTTGATTAGTCAAAGGCCAAGTTTTCCTTGGCGTGAGGCGTGCTCATGCAGTCTTCCTTTTAAAAGAGGCAGCCCCGTGCAGCAGGGGGTCCAATGTGGCCTTGCTTCCAGGGATTTTATTTGCAGCACTATCTTTATTTTATGGCAAGTGTTCGCTCTTAAGACACTTATGATGAACTTAAAGTGTGGGCTGAATAAAGGGACATTGAGAAAGCCCATTGCGCCAACATGTGGCAGAGGCATCCTGGCAGTGTTATAGCCATGGCACAGGTTGGGGACATCCAGGGTGGGGCCTGTGACACACAAGCTGTACTCTGGGAACAAACCTGTCCCTCACCAGCCTGATGGTTCACTTCCAGGCTCCAGTTTCCTGTCGGTCGCAATCAAGGCTAGGGGCCATTGATGCCGCTCCCCAGCTAAAAGGACAAGGCTGGCAACCTGAGCTCCATGCCCAGAGCCCACAAGAAAGTGAAAAAGGAAGGAGGAAGCAACTCCACAAAGCTAGTCTCCACCTATGTGCCATGGTATGTGCCCCCTGTAACATGCACACACACATAATAAACAAACAAGCAAATAAACAAAATTTAAAAATCAAGGTTGACCCAGTTTTCCCATGATCCTTCTGGGCTCCGGAATTCTATTTTTGCTATATATTTAAGGCCAAGGGCTAGGCCTCTTGGGAAAGGTCATTGAGTACAATGGAATCTCCTGAGAGGGAAATGAAGGTTCCTACCCACATGCTGCTGTCCATAAATGCATTTGGCAAGTCCAGAATGTCAGCAATTAGTAACTGGGCCCAGGCACCCTAATGAGATTCAGACTGAGCGTCAAAGAAGGAATTCTTCCACTGACTAATCGGGTTAGTGAAGCGAAGAGAAGTTGTATACACTGAAAAGTACTCCGCAAATAGAGTGCTAGCAACTAAAAGTGGTGGGGTGCACACTGCATTGTTCCACTTTATCTTTTTAAAAAAGCCTCTGACTTAACACTAAAGTGTAGCCTTTGAAGGCAAACGAGGGTGATTATGTTTAGACAGGGAAAGTCCACTGAAGGGCTGGGTAACTGTGGAAAGAGCTGAGGCACAATCGAGCAGGGAGGGCACACTTGACTGCACCTCTGTGTGTGTGTGTGTGTGTGTGTGTGTGTGTGTGTGTGTGTCTCCCTCCCTCCCTCTCTCTCTCTCTCTCTCTCTCTCTCTCTTTCTGTGTGTGTGTGTGTGTATGTGTCTCTGTCTCTGTCTATCTGTCTGTCTGTCTGTCTCTCTCTCTCTGATGGGAATGGAACCTAGGGCTTCGAACATGAGGTAAGTATCGTATGGCTGCCCACACGCCCAGTCCTGGGTTTTTCTAATTGGCTGGTTTGGGTCAGGGAGGCCTTGTGGAATGCTGGGTAAGGGGGCACAGACCCTGCATCTGAATTGACTCTTGGACCAATTCAGTGGGTTACTTAGCCTCTCCACGTCTCCGTTTTCTCATCAGCAAAACATAGGTAATGAATTCTTCATAAGATTATTAGAACAAACAAGTGAAGTAATAGACAGCATTGTTAGGATGATTGACGCACAGTAGATGCTGTGTGCGATTGATGGGGCTGTCATCTGCACAGTGTCAGTTCTCCCACCAGCTGCCTCTGTCCTACATGTGTCTCACAAAGCGTCTTCCCTTAGGCAATGTCCCAGTCCCCGTCCTGAGCATCCAGCAGACCTCACGGAAGACTTTTTATACCCAAAGGTGTCCTTAGATCATTGAGGCCACAATTGTCATTTTGTAGGTGATGCAACCGAGACATAGCGAGGAGACGTACCCACACTGAGACATAGTGAGGAGACATGCTCAAGACTGTGAAGCAAGTTCTAATCCCTGGGCGAATTCAGCCTAGAGCCAGGCCCAGCCGGGCGTCTTCTTTCACACCTGGCTTGCCAGCCCCATTGTTTCCTTGTGTTGCCAACAGGTTCTCAGTGTTGCATGTATGAAATGAGCTGGAAGCCAGGAACTGGAGGGCTTGGGTTTCTTGCCCACACCCTGCCGCAGGCCTGAGTCATAGCCTTCAAATACATAAGAGGTTTATTTGGATATTTATTTTCTTCAGTTTGTTTAGCAGGCAAAGTTACTGAAAACCATACAGTTAGCCTTGTGCCCAGGCTCTCCATTCAAGAATTCAACCACCTTAGGACCAACAGTATTGGTGGGAACAGTGTCCTGTCTATGCTGAACATACACACATGGCTTCCTGTCATTGTTTCCTGTCAATGCAGCATACCAACTGGTGACTCAGCATGGGTGGTATGTTACGTGAGTGACGCAGAGGGTGAGAGGTGACTTGAAGCACACATAAAGTCTATGAAAACGCTCTGTCATTGTGAACAAGTGACCCGAGCATTCTCTGATCTGGTCATCTGAAGAGGAAGGAAGATCTTGCGGACAGTGAGGGGGCGACTCTATTTCCCCTAAAATAATGAAACATTACTATGTGTGTTCTTAGGACAACTGTCAAAGCCACCCAGAGCCCAGGAAGGTTGAAGATTCTCCCTGAGCGAGTGTGGTGCTCATCAACCCCACGCTGACCTGGCAAGGCATGGACTTCCAGGTTCTGGTCCCAGTCTGTCATTTCTGAGCCTGATCTTCCGGCCTCTGGTGGCTGACAGGTGGTCAACAAGCATCAGGTCCCTTTGGCTAAATTACTCAGGGCTGATGTCTGTGACTTAACCTACTTACTTGCCCTGTTAGTGCTGTTGTGAAAGTCCCTGGCAGCTACAGGTGTCAGGAAACTCCTGGGAACCCAGGGGTTTAAGGTAGAGGCACCTGCAGGAAAGAAAGGCTGAGCAGATGGCAGGTGAGACCTGAGGAGTCCCTTTGGACCAGTCAGCAAGAGAAAGACAGTGAGCGGGAACTATGCCAGATCCAAGCTAGCACACTGAAGTCTCAAAGGAGGCAGGGCCACAGGGCAGCAGGACAAGAGGGCCCCTGAAACAGGAAAATGAGAGGTAGAGAGAGAAGGGAACCTCCAGGGGCTCGGCAAAAGGGTCCCTTATGGAGTGCTCTTAAAAATAAAACCGGGGCTGCAGCTGCAATTCCATTGGTACAGAGCTTGCCTAGCATGCCTGAGTCCCTGTTCCTCCCTCCAAAAAAACGAGGTAAAGGTGATCTAAGGACAGCCTGGACAGCAGATGCCAGTCATTCATTCTGTCATTCATCACTCAGCATGGATATATTAGGTACCAGCCACATGCAGAGTATTATGCCAGGTGCTGAGATGAACTCAGTCCCTCCACTCTTGTCATTGACATCTGTAGGAGGAAAGGGACAAGAAAACCAAGAGGTGGAAGGGGCACACGGAGGAGAGATCAATGGTTCCTACAGGAAATCACTGGTGGGGCGCCCATCACCAGCAGTCAGAGCAGGACTTGCGAGGCCTCCAGCACACTGCCAGCCTGTGTACCGCAAGGGCCTGCCCTTTTGCTTGGTGCTTGGCATGCTGCAGGCTTTGGTGAAGAAAACAAGCGAGAAGCCAAGGTGTGTTTCCTTGGGTTCCCAGAGGCCTCCTGGAGACATCCACAGACCACACCCCCACTTCCTGTCTACCCAAGTGTGGTCGCTGAGCCGGCACCGGGACCTGTCTTAGTGTGTTGGCAGATCACAATTCCACATGTAGCAGTGACATCTAGGATGATAAGGGAGGCCAGAGAACAGGAACCAAACACCATTAGTGGGGAGCAGTAGCTTCCAGTGTTCTTGGCTCCTAACACCCTGTTTTACATTCTATGGATCTCTAGAAGAAGGAGCTAAAAGGCTCTCGACAGTGATGAAAGGGAGCTTGGAGGGTCCACTTGAGGGTCCTTGAGGGGTCCAAGCTCTGCTGGAGTGTGGTGGGACATAAATGTGTTACACTTGACCTAAACAACATCACCATCCTCTCTTTCCTCTCCCTTTTTGCCTTCCAACCACATTAAGAGTGGAAAACTCCTAGAAGATACTGACAAAGGAAACAGCCTAAGTCCCTGACTGCACAGAGCAGAGAAGCCCCTGCATGGTAGACACACACACACACACACACACACACACACACACACAACAACAACAACACATGCTTCTTTCTCCATCACTGAAGTAATGTGAAATAACCTTCCATTGGGTTCAGACACTAAAGCTGCGTTCTGTCTTTGACAGGAGCTAACGTTTCTTGTTCTGACTAATGTGGCATTTGAACTGTTGTTACTGCAGAAGAAAACCCTCCCAACGTTTTTAGCATCTTTTAGTTCCCCTGCCTCAGTCTATTTGTGATACATCAACACAAGAACATGCAAATTTTAAAGCTAAGTCGTAGATGCATGTCAACCCACATCCCAACTCCTCCCTGTCAGTGCTCCAGAGGACGTAGCAAGAGCGGGTGGGAGGACCTGGGCATGTGATAAGAACAAAATGCCAGGAGAGACAGAACCTTGGCATCTAAAGAAGATCACAAAGACCAAGTTCAAAACTGTTGGAAATAGTGCGTGGTTGTGCTTCTAAGTTAGAACACTCACCTGCTCGGAGCAGAACACGGGGAGCATTGTTAGAGTCACACACACCTGACTGGAAGGAAGCAATAGAACTAAGTGATGCAAGGAAAGAGGTGCCTGGGTAGGAAGGCACCGGCCAGGCAAAGCCACCCGGGAGCAGGGGAACTTCTACCTCTTTCTTGGGGCTAAGTTGCATCCATGTAGCCACAGCCCCATCCCTGCTATTGATGGGGACCCCGAGTCATCCCTCAGGCAGGGAGACATCTTGGAAGCCTTTATGATGAGAGGGACTTTGCTGACACCCCAAGCACATTCCAGAACTTCCCAGGGTAGCAGGAAAACATGGAGGCATCTGTTTCACCTGACCTCTCAACACTGGCAGACACTGAGGTCACTCGGGGCACTTGTGCCGAGTGAGGAAGACCCTGCGAGAGAAGGCGTGCTTGGGTAAGGGTGGCAAGCAGAAGGAGGAGAGGTGAAGGAGAGAAGGGTGCCTGGAGATGTGTACAGCGAGACAGGGGAGACCGAGCTGGGGAAAGGCAGCTCTCGGGGAGGCAGGCTCCAGCCCACAGTACCCACAGAAGGCTCTTGATCACAGCCTTGGGGGCGGCTACTTGTGGTCCCTGCTGTCGGGTAGCACTGTAAATGCCAACGAGTGTTCCTAGTATAGGGCCCTGAGCCCAGCAGCAGCAGAGATGGGCTGGGTGAGTCAGGCTTCTCCGGTTCAGAGAAAGATCAAGACTCTGGAATGCCTGATCCTCAAGCAGAGGTGGAATATATGTACCCACCTATTATGCATGACCACAAGGCATGTGAAATCAATGCAGCTAGGCTTGCATATCTGTGGGTCTGCATCATGTGGTTCCACTCACCCATGGTCTCAAATATGGAAGCACACTGCATCTATACTAATGTGTGCAAACATGTTTCTCTTATTTGCTACAACACAGTAGAGAAGTCCAGACATATATTTCCATTGCTTTAGGCACTCTAAGTCACTAAAGGTGAAGAAGCATGGAGCAGATGTGTGTAGGCTCTGTGCAAATGTACCATTCCGTGCAATGGACTTGAACACCCACAGATTTGGCTATTTGTGG